GTTTTGGTGGAGAAGTTATTATTTCGGGGACCACGAAAGCTGGCGGGCTGAAATGTTAAGATATTGTCCCATGTCTCCTTACGACCCAAAAAATTTAAACTAAGCTCTCCCGCACGCCCGACCTCTCAGAATTTTGGCGGAAAAATCACCATTTCGGGAACCAAAAAAGTTAGGGGCTGAAAAAAGTTTTTTTTTACACTTTTTTCATCCATATGATTACGGCTAATGTTTTAAGTTCAGGAAGAGGGACAGCACATTATGTGCTCCCTGGAATGAGCTTATATGATCTTTATTCTTTTGAAGGGTGGCTATGGCATCGAAGATGAGATGTGCGTCAACTATATCCATTACTATCCAGCAGCAAGTATAGAAGTATGCAAAAGTGCTGTCGACAATACAACACTTCGTAAATTCTTCAAAAAATTGTATGTGATAACATTTGTACAAATTTTGCCAAATGCTGTTCCTCTTTTTAGAGGTTGTGTGATACCTCTTTATGCCCTGGAAAAGATAACATCCAAGAGAGTTGACAGTTTAAGCAGACAATTTCAAAAAATACCAAGTTTCTTTTCAGGGTATTCACGAAGCATCATCAGCTTAAAAGAGCTTTTTTAGGATACAAAAGTGCTCTGCTCAATCCTCTCTCACCGCTGCGCGTGCAAACGAAACTTCTAGCGTCCAGTGCATTTTTGCTCTTTCTCCTCGCCTTGGTAACCCAGTTAATGTTGCATCTCAGTTATAAACTGGGTGTTTAACACGTATTAGTCGGCAAAACTACCGCTAAATCGGCAAAACTACCGCTAAATTTGAAACGCAAGGCCACCGTTCAGTCTGAAACAGCCGAACCTCCGTTCATTTTGAAACAAATCCATCGTTTATCGTAACCGACAAAACCACCATTCAGTTTGAAACGACATAACTATCATTCGTTTGAACTGACAAGCTGTCGTTCGTCTAATCTCGCAAAACCACCACTCAGTTTGAAACGACGGAACTATCGTTCAGTTTGAACCGACAAACCGTCGTTCGTCTGAGACGGCAGAACCGCCATTTTATTTGAATCGACAAGACCTTCGTTCGGTTTAAGCCGACAAACTCGTTCGTCTAAGCCGGCAAAACCACCACTCTATTTGTAACGCTAGAACCACCGTTCAGTTTGAGTCGATAAACTGTCGTTCGTCTAAGCTTCCACCACTCAATTTAAACGGCAGAACCACCGTTTCAATTTGAACCGACAAACCGTCCTTTGTCTAAACCGGCAGAACTATCACTCAATTTGGATCGACGACACCACTGTTCAGTTTGAACCGACAAACTGTCATTCGTCTATGTCCTCAAAACCATCAGTCAGTTTGAATCAGCAAGACCATCGTTCAGTTTGAACCGACAAACCATCGTTCGTCTGAGTGGTCGGAACCACCACTCCATTTGAATGGACAAAACCACCGTTCAGTTTGAGCCGACGAACCGCCATTCGCCTGAGCCGGCAAAGCCACCACTCTATTTTTAACGAGAGAACCACCGTTCAGTTTCCACCGACAAAACCACCGTGCAGTCCGAACCAACTAAACCATCGTTCATTCCAAAACGGCAAAATCTCCGTTTATCTAAATCGGTTAAATTTCAGTGGCAATACCAAAGTTGTTGCGGTGAGCTGACAGTACGCACTGAATTTTGAGTAGTTTGGAAAGTACTGCTATGACAATGGGCATCAACATTGCCGGGTGTGAAAGAAGCTCTCTCAGATACCATTTTTCGTATAGGAACCTGTTAGGAGACGCATTCAGCCGACCCACCTTATGGAAAGTACCTTAATTTCGGATGTTTAGTCCTTATTTTGCACACGCTAACCCGTTTCTTCTTTTTGGCACTTTTTTCAAGTATAAGATATCTTTCTGATGAATTGTGTTCTAAAATCGTAATTTAGTGTTTATAAATTTTCAGTTTGGCGCTTGTTTTCTGTGGTCTCTCAAGTCAGCTATGTGCATTTTAGGAATGTGAATCCACTAATGAAGATTCGCAAAATGTACGAATCAGTGAAATGGACTCAAGAACTTTATGAGGAACTATTAGAATTATATAGCAATGCTGAACTGAACATGCACTGTTTGCAACACAGCGGGGATCCATTCACTGTACGTCTTAATGTTGCAGCCCGGAACAGGCTGTGCTGGTTAAAGTAAATTAGTTTCCTGAGTAAGAAGACAAATCTGTCTTCTACTTTTGAAAAGCTTCTGGGTAAAAGGCTATTTTTCTGGCTTCAGCAGAATCTTTTTCATCTTTCGAATAGTTCGTGGGCAAGGAGTAATTTTTTGTCGTCAAAATATTTGGTCGTTTAACATTCTTAGGTGTGGACCTATCAGACAGATAGAGCTTGTTGCGATGTTTCGAGCAAGCTTTTTGGGAACGGATAAAATTCAGTCAAAGCCACTGTCTTCTAGTTGTAAGGTGATAAAGATAGTTCGATTTAATTGCGAGGTGTTAGAAACTGAAGGTTGACTCCGATAGGGCTCGGTTAAGGTAAGTTTTAAATAGATCTAGATATTAATCTCACTTTATTAAATATTGCAGTAAATCTGGATGCATCTTGGCTGCATTTTGGATATCCATTCGTCCGAAAGTCCGGAAATTAGAACTACTTCGCCTAGGGTCTACAGACAGAAATACCTCAATCAGGATTTTCTGAAACAAATTTCATACCCAACTGCTTGTATTTTGCTTCTTATTTGAGTTTGCCAAAGAAAAATTTTGCAGGGTCATCCGAGCAACTGGGAACAGTTGAAGCAACCAGCAATCCAAACGACAGTCTTTGAAAATCGCCAAAATCTTTACGAATGCCCTGCTATAAACGACTGAAAAATGTGGAATCCGTTGGTTCTTTTTCCTTTTTTTTCTCATTACATCCATACTGTAATTTTCTAAGAGAGGTGTGGTGAAACGGGGGAATGCTTGTTTCGGCCCAAGTAATCCTGACAATATAATTGATGTAAACCAGAAAGAAGGATGCTAATCTGAAAACGTTGTTGCGAGGATACAAAACAGCCTGAGCTACCAGTGAGGGTATCTGATGCTAGTAAAATTACTGGGATGTTCCTATACTCCGGATAAGGCTATGCCGAATTCTTCGTCCCTGGACTGCACGCCTCCGGTTAGTTGGTGCCTCCATCGTTTATTTAACTTATGTGTAAAAACAAAATTATCAGTGACGATATGTAAGATACAAAATTACATTAAAATATACTCAGATGAATAGGAATATTTTGATGTTTTCTCTACGGAGATTGCCACACTGGTCGTTTACACTTTTCCGCTGCTACCAGTTACAAATGCGCGGCGTCTATAGGGAACACATACTTGACAACGCATACGCGAACTTTTACTATTGTTTTAAAATTTAGAAAAAAGCCGGGCACAGTTTTGGCAAACGGAATGAACTCAGTTAGCAATTTAACCAGAAAATAGTCGACAGAGGCTGTCTCTTTTTGGCGTTGAGATGGCGCCAAAATTATCCACGCAAACAGTTTTGTAAAACAAAGTTTTGATCAGAGTGTGGCAAAAATAAGATTTCTTCACTTTTTTCTCGGAACTAGCCTTGCCATTGTTTTTTTTTTGCTTAAATTAATGAGTAGATGAAATAATTTAACAATTTTTATTTCCCTAAAATGTCAAACATTTCGAGGAAAACGAGTAGAATATCAACAGCAGCAGTAATTATGCAGGAAAACATTCATAGGTAACAAGACATTTCACTGTCCGAATCACAACTCATCTCGTTTGATGAGCTTATTAAGTTCAATATCGAAATACAACGTCGCTTTACCAGGTATTGATGGTTTACGTCCTTCAGCACCGTAACCTGAAATGAAACTTACATCTGTAATCAAAATCATTGAAAAACATACAAATCTGGTCCTCCAACTGTTGAAGCTAGCAAATTTTCCACTTGTTTTGGCTGTTGCTGCATCGCCCATTAATCAGTCCACATTTATTATCAAAGTGAGAAATCCACTGCGTTACTGCTTAGTTTATCTTCTTTCTTCTAAGCTTATATTATCAAAGTCAGTGCTGAGACACGATCAAAATTACCTAATTTCCACGGAATAACAACTTTTCTTCTTTCACCTTCACACATTCCCGTCATTGCTCGATCCATACCTTCGATTACCTGCAAAATAGATAGTCACTCAAGAAAATCCCGAAAAAATTGAAACCCCTAAAATGCTTAAAGGAGGTATTCGAATCACATTTCATCATGAAGAGGGCTATATGCCTAAAAAAGTATGGGTTTTCTGCGTTTGTCCCCTCCCCCTTCTCCCTCCCCCCTCTTCATCCCTCCTTAAAACATATCCATCCCCGCGGGAGCGACTCATTGGGAAGTTGCACTGTTGCCGTTTAGTAGATCGAGGGTTCGACCTTATCGGTAGGAAAAACCAGTCCTTTCTTTCTGTGATTCATTCATTCGTTTCAATAATTAATTGATACTAATATATGCAAGGGAATTAAACCCGCCATCAGTCTGTTTGTACGTAATCCCGGAAAGAAGGAGTCATCGAATGGCTTATCAAGGGATGGTTCCTGTTTGCTACCATTTGGGCTACTTCTCAGTTGCGCCCACCTCTCACAGAGAGCGAATGCGGAAGGAATTTTGACTTTTGATTTCATTTCTTTCTACTTTTCAAAATAAACGTACATCATATAATGGAATACAATAAGTACCTCGTTATTGCCAAGTTTGAAAACAAATGGCGCATTACGGCTAAAACTCGAATCAACAAATGTTCCATCTTCCAGATGCAGCGTATAGTGCTGATGAATTGAATCACCTTTCTCTGCTTTACGACATTTATCATCATCAATTTTATGAGTAACCTGAAATAAGCTTATTTCGATATTTTGAGGACAATTTTTTATATAAGCAAATTAAACTGTAGTTATAAATCTTAGTGCTATTGTTTGGCTATCATCTTTACGATGATCCCGTTATACGTTTCTATAGTAAAATGATATTGACATATGCAAGGGGATGAAAATAGCCATTAAATTGCATCTAAGCATTTTATCGCTTAAGACGGCGCCAACGCCAATTGTAGCAGTACGTGATTGCTGTTGACATGCATTATCAGGCGGACTGCTTTCCGGGTGCTCCTGGCTTCGGGGAAATGAAATATTGATGAATTTTGATGTTCTGATTCATCCGTATAAAACATAGTACTCATGAACGACTACTTATAAGCGACCTGCACGGACCTGGTACATCGATCAGTAGTAGGTACCAGCTGGAGGCGTGGAGTTCAGAATCGAA